CACCTGCTCAGCCAGTCACCCGCAATCCCCTGCGTTGCGCGACGTGCCCCCGGCTCTGCGGGGTGCAGGCCCCTCTGGTCTCCAGGCTGAGCCGTGCCAGGCAGGGGATCTCCAGGCAGGGCAACCGGGACTCCAGCTCCTCTCTGGAAGGTAAGGGGTTAATGATGGAGCAGGAGGGGTGACCCGTTAACCCTTCAGTTCCTGGTCAGAGGCCCCAGCAGGGAGACCAGGTGGGGGTGGGATCTGTGCAGGGCCGGCTCCAGGCCCCAGCTTGGCAAGCAGGTGCTTGGGGTGGCCACTCCGGAGGGAGGGGCGGCACATCCAGCTATTCGGCGGCAGTTCGGCGGACAGTCCCTCACTCCCGCTCAGAGCAAAGAACCTCCCGCCGAATTGCCACCGCAGATCGCGATTGTGGGTTTTTTTGTTTTTTTTTGGCTGCTTGGGGTGGCAAAAACCCTGCAGCCGGCCCTGGATCTGTGTGTGTGCGGGGGGTCTTTCTGTTCCCTTCCTTACCCTGTCCCGGCTTCCCTGGGACACTGAGTCGCGCGCTGAGCCCCCGGGGTCTGAGCCGGTTCCTGTCCCGGGAGCGGCCGCACTCACTGCAATCTGCCTTGTCTCTGCAGGGAAAACCGGAGTCATCAACACTCCAGCTCAGGGTGAGTGAGAGACCTCCGTGCTGCTGGCAGGGGTGTGTGTGGGGGGGGTGCGCACAGCCCAGCCCGGGGACCCTCCCCTGGGACCGGGCGCTAACGCCCCATCGCCCCCTGCTCAGCCAGTCACCCGCAATCCCCTGCGTCGCGCAACATGCCCCCGCCTCTGCGGGGTGCAGGCCCCTCTGGTCTCCGGGCTGAGCCGTGCCAGGCCAGGGGGCCCCTCTTGTCTGGCTCTGCCCAGGGCAGCTCCGGGTCATGCTGTTCCCTGTCTGGGGCAGGCCGGGGGTGGTGAGCCCCGGGACAGGGTGGGCAAGGGTGGAATCGATTCCTAGGGAGACGTCTGCCTCCCGACACCGACACTGGTTCAGGGGACACTAACCCTCCTTCTCCCCCCACAGCCGGCAACCGGAACTCCAGCGCCTCTCTGGAAGGTAAGGGGTTAATGATGGAGCAGGAGGGGTGACCCGTTAACCCTTCAGTTCCCGGTCAGGGGCCCCAGCTGGGAGACCAGGCGGGGGTGGGATCTCAGGGGCAGGGCTGTGAATGGGACTTGGCGATTCACCCTGCACTCCCCAGGAGGGTCATTTGTGAGCAGAGCAGGTAACCAGGGGCCCCTCCTTGCCCGGCACGGGGGCCAGGCTCCCCCCGGCAGAGTTGGGAGGGACGGTCCCTGAGATCCCACAGCGGGGCCCTCCCACATGGGCCCCTCCTCGCCCAGGGTCAGGGCCCCCCAGGCGAGCCCAGGGCAGGTCTAACGGAACGGGTGGGGCTGGAACCACTCCGAGAGGGGCCGTGACCCCAGGCGCACATTCACCCCCTGGGCTCAGAGACGCTGACCCTGTCCCTTCTCCCCACAGCCAGC